ACATTATATATATATATATATATATATTCCTTTTTTGCTAGTTTATTAACGTTGCAGCTTAATTTCTTAAATTCGTCTCACACTCCCATCCTTTATAGTTTAGTTTTTTACCAACTAATTTTTATTTATTTTTTAAACTAATTTATATACTTTGCACGTGTCTCAAGATTTATAGGCTCCAAGAACAGAAAATTAATGCATTCAGATAAAAAAATAACATATCTTTACTGATCAACGTCATTAATATTTCTACAGTCTTGTATTAAACATAACCCTAAAGAGATATATGTTTACAATATATGACCTAGTTCACTATATTCTTTTTTAGACAGATTAGTTTCAAATTTATATTTTCATTTAATATTTATTTGTTACCTCGATTTCATTATTATCTTAGTTTATAATTTTATATTTATTCTCGCCTCCACTAAATAAATAAAACCTTGATCAATCAGGCATATTTAACAAGATTAATTAATGTCACACCACTTTCAAATCTTCACATTTGACATATGATATCTCCAACAACTAATTAAGGCACTTTCAGTCTTCGTCCTCTACATATAAAGCATAAGTTCCAGTTTTCTTAACCTTTTTCTTTTTCATTTTTTTTTTTATAAATACCTTATTTATTTCTTGAACAATACTTAAATGGCCGGGAATGGCTCACAAATATTAATTTGTAGTGATTGGATATGTATAAATTATTAGTTCTATATATTTTTTATTTCCATGATATATCATGTTTTGGAATTAGGTGTTATGGGGCAAGGCTTTGTGGCACAGTCGTTAACCATAGAGAACTCGGCGGGCCCACAGAATCACCAAGCTGCTGCATTATACAATACAGCAGATCAATCGGCCTTTTATAACTGCATATTCCTTGGCTACCAAGACACCCTCTACGCAAAAGAAAACCGCCAATTCTACAAAGATTGCAAAATCTACGGCACTGTCGACTTCATCTTTGGCCATGCTAAAGCCGTCTTCCAAGACTGTCACATCTACGCTCGTCCGGAAACCTTAATCACCATCACCGCGCAAAACCGAGCAAGCGATAGTGAGGTCAATGGCTTCTCCTTCCAAGGCTGTCATGTGGAAGCCACTCCAGGGCTAACACCGCCGCAAAGGGCAAACTTGAGAGTCTTTCTCGGTCGTCCATGGGATAGGTACTCGACGGTGATTTTCATGCAGAGCATTTTCGATGACATTGTGGACCCCCAAGGGTGGACGGAGTGGCCTGGAGTTCCCGTCGATCACTTGTATTACGCCGAATACGACAATAGCGGTCTCGGTGCCGACACTTCAAAGAGAGTGAATTGGAAAGGTTACCATGTCGTCAAGAAGTGGATGGAAGCTGATTGGTTTACGGTGGCCAAGTTTATTGATGGGAATAGCTGGTTACCTGAAACTGGTGTACCTTATAGGAGTGGATTACGTATTGTAAGTTGATCACTCGGAGTTATAAGAAATTATAAGTTCAATAAGGGGTTATTTGGTCATGTAAATAATTAAGATTAGTATTGAAACCATGGTAGATCCTAAATAGGTTTATGTTATTAAATTAAGCACTACTCTGCGTAATTTGTTTGTCTTCTTGTTAATAGGTTTATGTTTTTTGCCTTAATTTCAGTGATCTGTATTATAGGGATTTCAGATTTCATTATATATATATCATCATTAAGTACTTATTTTACTCTTTAAGTTTTTTCTTGAGTTTTTTTTTTATTTTTATTTTTTTTATGCAACTTCGTAAACTCTGCATTTGCAAATTATCTAAAATGAGTATATGAGCAGATTACAAGTTAATCGACACAAACACAATCCAATCTAGAATTAATGTAAATAAATGGACCGCTATTATATCTATAATAATGGCAATTAACTGACTACACTTGCTAATTTGTTACAAAATGGTTGACAGAGTTATATTCCAAAAAAATGCAATAAGTTTACACTTTGAATCAAGGTATGGCTACTTAAGAGAACCATATTCTATGTTGAAATTGAACCTACGCGCACAGCAGTTCTTGCTCGCTTTGATCATATGGAGGAGGCAGCAAACTCTCAACATTAGCGAAAAGATCTTCACGGCCAGGGGGCAGCGGTCCGGCAATAGGCGAATCCAAGACAGAGTCCGGAATCGCAACTAGGGTTTCCTCAAAAAAAGACTTGATGCTCTACAAATACGTTTCAAAAGATGTCTGAGAAACTAATGACGGAAAGAAATTTTTGCCTTTTAAGATTAGCAACGAGACAACCAACCGTGAAAAACAAAAGGGAGGCAGTCAAATTTTCTCAGCACCAGGACTTAAAATGATCACAGAATTAAGAACCTCATAGGGGAATAATGAGTAAATTACCATGCAATGCTGGAACGCAGCATCGGCTTTGCGCTTCCACAAGCCATTCCCAGGTTCAGAATGGAAAAGATGGAGCAAAGGCTGCAGCAAAAATTGAACGGAAAAAAAAAAAAAAAACCATGTTATCAAATGCAAATGTTCATTCAGCTGAATGCAATAATGTAAAAGCTTCCACGAAATAGAAGGCACTTAGCTTCACAAATGCTAAGTTTGGCACTTTCATCTTTAAGTTTCTTCTAGGCAATTTAGTCTTTGAATTCAAAACAGTAGCAACTAACTGCTAAAATAATAAGAAATTTTAGGAAAATGACCAAAAAAATATTTTTAGAGGGATAAAAGTGTCGAACCATGAGAAGTTTAGGGATCACAAATGCTAGAAAATATTAATGATTCCATAAAAAAGTGGACTCCTGGTAAAGGCTAGTATTGATAGCTACTGCTTTGTAGATACATTTAAGGACTAAATTGCCAAGAAAAAAAAATTCCAGGTATAGAAGTACAAAACTTCTAGAAGTCAAGGAGGCACAAATGCTGAAATTAGATGGGAATAAAACACTCTGAAAAGAGATGTTTGGAAGTACGAATGGAAAATTGTTTGAGTAATACTCCCTAGTGAAAACACTTATTACCAACCTTCACCACATCCCGGACATTTGGTTTACATCCATCTCTCCACAAAACCGAATCACCGTATATTTGATACTTCTCAAGAACCTTAAATAAAGAAAGATGAAAAGAACAGTTGTGAATTCTAAATAAGGATAATAGCTTATAGAAACTGCACATGGGCATTTATTTAACAGCCAAGTTTGTTCCTGAACCTGACGACGTGTGATACCACTGCTCGGTGCACCATAAATTGCGGTATCAACACGTCCCAATAGCTGCCACGGGCTGTTAAATAACAATGTTATGTCAACTTTTTTAGTACAAGAAGATTATTAATAACATAGAAAGAGAACGGAAAAGGTTGAAAAATACCAAACTTTAGATTTTACATACTTATAATATGCCGTACGTCCAATCATTACACCATGGGCCCCGGCCTTCCTAGCTGCGTTGACCTATAGTTGAAAGCAAATCATCAAATAGCTTGTGAGAAAATGAGCAAAATTCATAAAAGGAAAATGCCGAAACAATGTAAAAGAAAATGGAACTATTGGGTCACCTAGAAAAAAGTCACACACGATTGACATCTCGACATTCCTATACTAACATTAAAATGATGTGAATTTCGAGTCATAGATGCCAAAGGCTCACCTCGTCAACAGTGTTTATGCCTCCATTTATTGTAAATCTTAGGTCTGGAAAGTCACGCAAGAGACCATAGAAGTACTCGTATCTGCATATACGGTATGGAAATGTGGAAAAAAAAAATCAGCATACTTAAATCTAAAGATATATAAAACTGTTAGATGTATATAACCTTCATTCCTATTGAAAGTTAAGCTTAAAACAAAATTAAATAAGAGACATTACTTAAGAGGCGGAATTGTTCGATTTTCAGCTGGGCTGATGCCATTGAGAAGAGCCTTTCGGGAATGAATTATAAAATGTCTTGTTGGTGATAAAGAAGAAACCTTGTAAATAAAATCACCTGAAAGGAACAAGAAGAAGAAATTAATTTACCAATTAAGATGATGCAATAGAAAAATATAAATATGTATGAACCTTTCTTAAATCGTATGGTGCACAATCATTAATAGTATCAGAACTTGCTTGTGGAAAAAGGAAAATCAGGAAGTTTGCTGACATACTGTTAACAAAAGAAAGAACATGTAAAGAAAGAACCTTACAGAGCTCATTATATGAATCGTGATCGTCGACACCAATACGGCATTTAACGCTGACAGGGGCATCTGTATTTGCAGCAATCACTGACATAGCTTTGGCAACAAACTTCCCTTGTAAAAGCCAAAGGCCAATATCAGAAATCAGATAACAAAATATGGCTACATGGATCAGCCACTTTTGACAACATAATCAGCCTGGTTATCAAACCTTTGGATCGAGCATAAGACGAACACCGAAGCACCCATGCCCAGCTACTTTTGGACTCGGACATCCACAACTAAAAATAAAATGAAGAGAAAACTATTGGTCCATGTGACGAAAAATAAAGAAGAAGAAAGATAAGATGCCAAAGAGAAAGGAAGAGTACGAATGTACGTACTTAAAGTTAATCTCATCATAGCCGTAAGGATTAGCTAGTTCAGTTGCCTTAGCTATATTGTCCAAATTATTTCCACCAATTTGAAGAATAATAGGATGCTGTTCTGGAGAAAATGCCAAGAATCTGTCCTGAGCATTATAAACAAACTTTTCAACACGAGTCGTTTTCCAAACTGACCTATCAAATACTCTCATAGAAAGATGCTGATATAATACAAGATATTCAATACATATTGAAGTATTCTACACACTACAAGAAACTCCCAGATTTAAAAAAAAAAAAAAAAAAAAATCGATTTGTGTACTAGCTAAAAATAGTACGCTTTTCACAATAACTAAATGCTTCTTCCTAGAACATGTATGTATGATCATAGTTCCACTAATTTACCAGATTGTGCTGCTGGTAGACAATGGTTTCAGCCGCAAGCATTTCGGTATAGAGCCACGCATGTTTCGATATGAGCCGGGCAAGAGTTCTATAGTGATGATCAGTCCAGTCCATCATAGGAGCAACACTGGAAAAACACCACCAGTAATCAACCCAAAGGTCCATAAAATCAACAAACTCATTGCCAAGAGCAAATAGATTAAGGTCCCGTTCATTTCGCCGATTCGAGTTTAGAATTCGAGTTTTGCTAAAGTAAAAAGCTCTTAGAAACAGTCACATCTAACTTTTTTGTTAAAGTAAAAAGCTCTCACACAAAATTACATCTCAACTCGATTCAGCGAAGTGAACGGGCCCTAAATACACACACACATATCAATGCCCACCTGAACCAAGGAGGAAGATACTGCTCAGCACCCATCCCAACTTTTGCACTCACTTGACGCTTTTGACTAACAATGGATGATAATTGTATCCTCCTCCGTCTACTTAAATTACTACAAAACAAGTTGAAAGAAAATCTGCAGGGGTTTTTCCAAAAGATATCATGAGCGGGAAGAACCGAAACAACCGAAGAATATCTCAACTTCATCTTCCTTCCATTCAAATCTCAGATTGCTCCTTGAGGCACCTATCAATTGAAAAAATGCATCAATCCCAGAACATAAAAAAGAAAAGGGACTTTCTTGAGTGAATTCCTTCGTCAATTGGTCCAAAAGGGTCTAAATTGGTAAAGTATTTCATTGACGCATTTTATCAAACAGAAACGTGCGCATTCTAATGCATGAAAAAAAAAAAAAAAGCACATGAAAGTCAAACATGTCGATAAAGTGAAAAACCGGTAAGGAATGTGGCGGGTCTAAATTTGGTAAAACTTTTCGTTGAGACATTTTATCAAACAGTTGGCGACCAGATCTTCATGCATAAGACATATACGTATATAGAGATATATACACAAACACAAGAATATACATACACATGTCGACACAAAGTGACATATTGGTGTGAGGGCTGGGGTTTACATCAATGGCGGAAGCAATCCGGTGAGAACAAAAACTCGACCGAAAGTTGCAGAGAAGAACGGAAAACAGAGTTTTTTTTTGTTTTTTGGATTTTTATATACAAGCTTTATCAGCCGCAGAATCGCCGACAAGAACAAGAAGGAGCCAGGGGCAATTGGGCCGGGCTCAGTAAACATGAATTGGGTTGGGCCATAACTCTGCAGTAGGCCCAACATTTTCAAGGCCCAATTTCAGCAACGGATAAAATAACTACCACCACTAGCAACTTTTTTCTCTTTTTTTTTCATCACTTTGAGCAAATTTCCATGGCGAGCTTAAGCTTCAACACCACCACTTCTTCTTCGAGACTCAGAACAACCCCAAAGATTCAACTCCAAAAACCCATTTCCAACTTCAAAATCCCATCTCTTTTCTCCCCCAAAATCTGGCCAAAACTCCGTCATTTTCGGTCCAATTCCGTCTCAGAAAGCTCGGTTTCCCAGGAAAAACAACTGGAAAACGATGAAGAAGAAGAAGATGAAAATGAGCCAACAGTGGAATCGTGTTATTTTGATCCGGAAACAGACCCGAATGAGGTTTCGGAGTGGGAACTGGATTTCTGCTCGAGACCCATAATTGATATAAGAGGGAAGAAGGTTTGGGAGCTGGTGGTTTGCGACGAATCTCTGTCTCTCCAGTACACCAAGTACTTTCCCAACAATGTCATCAACAGTGTCACTTTGAAGGATGCCATTCTCGGGATTAGTGAGGACTTGGGCATTCCTTTGCCTGAAAAAATTCGCTTCTTCAGGTCTAAATTTTGGGAAACAAGGAAAAAAAATCACTTGTTTATACTTCTTTAGTTCTTTTTTAGTGATATATGTGTGCCTTGGTGCTAATGAAGATCTAACAGTTAGAGAATTCTTTGGTTGGCAAAATATAAGTAGATATTTTGGTGTTTTTGACTGTCATACTTTCATTAAGTTGTGTTAAATTTACTTGCTTTTTTGAAGTTTATTGAGGACTAAATGAAGGGTGTATTTAATGGAGTTGTACAGGTCACAGATGCAGACGATTATAACAAAAGCCTGTAACGAGCTTGGTATAAAACCTGTTCCTAGTAAAAGGGTAAGTATGTTTTTTTTTTTTTTTTTTTTGGGCTTTATGTTATTGTCTTGCTAATGTTCAAACTTGTAGACAACAATTGTCTTAAATAGTTGTAAGAACTATCAAAGTGAGACGAGTTAAATGATGGGTTAATTGGGTTAAGTGCTCGCTTTGCTATATATGCTAAAATATGATGAAACACCTTTTCAATTATGAGAAATTAAAAATATTTTGGTTATCTCCTCTCCTATCTTATGAAACTTACTTTTAGTATCTTGATCGTCTTATAATATTATATTATTCTTGTCGTGGCTGTTTGTTAATGTTACAGTGTTTATCATTGCTTTTGTGGTTGGACGAGCGATATGAGACAGTTTATACGCGTCATCCTGGTTTCCAGAAAGGAGCTAAGCAACTTCTTGGATTGGATAATCCTTTCCCAATGGAACTTCCTGATAATCTTTTTGGGGAGAAATGGGCCTTTGTTCAGTTACCTTTGTCAGGTCAGAACTACCATCCTATGTTTCACATTGCTATAATCTATAATCGTTAACGGGAAGGGAACTAGATTTGAGGGAATTTTGTGACTGATCTAGGAATTAAATTGCAACAAAAAAACAAATAATTTTTCAGGGTCAGAGATGCCAAATTATGAGAAGTTCAGGGGCCCCTACGGGTGCTAAAAACATCATTATTCTATCTAAAATTTAAGAAGTTAATGGTAGAGTTAATTGCTACTATCTTTTAAATTTAAGGAAGAAAAAAAAAAAGCCTTTCAAGAAGGATCTTTGGAGTTTGGGCATGGTTTGTAGTAATCTTAGTCTATCTATTTTTCAGCCGTTCGAGAGGAGATGTCATCCTTGGAAACAAGACGTGTGTTTGGTGCAAGTCTAGATTTAGATTTGTTGGGGATTGAAATAGATGACAGTACATTGATCCCAGGGCTGGCTGTTGCTTCTTCACGTGCTAAACCATTAGCAGGTGCATATTCTCTGTCTCCATCACATCATCAAACTACCTTCACAATACATCTTCCTAAGCTTATTCCTCATTTCTTTCATTTGTTTCACTCTACACGTTTCTAGCAAATTTTGATAGTTTTCCCTGCGACAACCTTTAGTTACAACCTATTAAAAATGATATAAAGGGCATCCGAGATGTCTAACATGCGTGGTCGACCCGCCCCAAAAGAGTTGTGATGTTGGGCACCACTGACACGCAGAACAATAGCACTACTCTATAACCTACTCTTGAAACTTGATTCTTGCATGGGACACTATTTCTACTTTCTCAAGTGCATGCAATTAATTCATGGTCTAGTGGATTAGGCATATAATATCTTTATATCTTGTTGTTTTGACTAGGCTAAAATTTCTCTTATTCATGTTTTCTTATGATGTTTTTTTTCACTCTATCTATATGAATCTCCTTTTTAATGTCAAATGAACTTTCCCACCCTATGTTGAGTTGAGACTTGAGCGCACAAACAAAAGAGAAGAAATTACACTCAGAATTCTTGGGACGTTTTTATGTTACTCCTCTGTATGTGGCAATGCAGCTTGGATGAATGGCCTAGAAGTGTGCTCAATAGAAGCAGATGTTTCCCGGGCGTGCTTGATACTCTCGGTCGGGATTTCAACCCGGTATGTGTATGCTACCTACAAGAAAACTCCAGTGACTACAAATGAAGCCGAAGCGTGGGAAGCAGCCAAGAAGGCTTGCAGAGGCTTACATTTCCTTGCCATCCAAGAGGACTTGGATTCAGATGATGTTGTTGGGTTGTGGCTTCTACTAGACTTGCCACCTCCACCTGTATAACTTTACATTCTTTATACTTGAAATGAAAAGCTTTATCACGATACATTTGTTTCAACAATATTGTTTATGCCTCCTGGTTGCTCAAATGGATTCAAGTAATGAATATCTTTTGTGAACAGAATTGTGTGACATGGTCAAGCATAAAAACCGTGGACAAAAACTTGTTATAAAGTGAGGTAAAAGTTAAAAACTCCCAACATTATACAGGAAAAGCAGAAGAAAACCATCAAGGGAGACCACTTTCCTAGACAAGTAGGCATTATTCTAAGCAAAATCCGATCGCAACTAAATTAAGAAGAAACTCCCTTTGTTTAAAAGGGTCGATCTGTTGTACTGTAGAGATGCTTTGGAACAAAATTAATTCTTTAATTTCTAAGAAGTGCTAATACATCTACTATAACATGCAAGGATTCTAATTACATCCCAGAGTTGCAAATCTCCCCAATTCTAGAGGCTCACTAACAATATCCTGTTACAGCTGATTCCTGAATATCAAGTTTGTACCTTTCAAAAAAAAATGGAAAAAAAAATGGCATCAATCTTAGAGGGACTGAATTAGTCCCTGAAGGGAAAGCTAAACATTTCCAACAAACAATTTTTCGGTGAGAACCTAGCTGCAAGAAGGGCAAACTTGAATTTCTAGGGGCCTTTTGACACTTAATAGACGATTCCTAGGATTCCTCTGTTATACAAAAGAAAGTGTTCTCCTGAAGTCACAATCACCATGAATAACTTGTCTACCATTCATGTCTTTGACCTCTTCTGCTTTTGAGATACAAATCGAACGCCTTGTTTCCCAAGTTCCAGAAGCTTTTGTCTACCATCATCTAGAACAACTGATACTGTTGATGCGCCGTCCACTACGTCTGCAACCATTCCCTTGTGCCTAGACAAGAAGAAACAAAAAGCGCCTTCAGAACAGAACAGTGGTCACACTGTGTTTTTGCTTTGAAAGGAAATTCGATTGAGCAAAACTTACAATTGCTGAAAATGATAAATTCTGCCTTCTGGGATTTTCAGTGGCTAAGAAAAATAATAATCACACTCACCAAGAATTGTCAGATTGCTGATGAACTTCAACTCGCTTCCCAATTGCATCTTTACCCAACTTCTTTAGTATCCAATTGGCATCCATGATCTCATCCATTAAATTGTCTTGATGAGCTTGTGTTGCATCAGCTCCACTGATCGACAATTTTTCCAAGAACGGTGATGGACGCTTTCTTTTTGACCTCTGGCCCTTAATAGAACTCTTTTCTTCCTCTTGATTAGCAGAGTTCTGATTTTCCGTACTGGGCTTTTTAAATTTGAACTTCAGCAGAGGCTTTGGATCTTTAGGCAAAGAATGTGAAACAGGTGTTTGACCATAATCACCATTGTTCTCATTGTATGTAACAGCCCGTCTTTCTGAATGCTTCCTCGAATATACCCTCTCACTTCCTGAAGTAGGAACAGCCCTCCCCAACAATGTATGAGTTTGTTCTGGGGTAGCAGTTTCATATGGATCTGCACCACTCCCTTGGCCAAATTTGGGATTATAATCAGAAACCGCAGTCCTAATTTTTCCCAACTTGATACTTCCAACCTTCAGACCCATTGATTGTCCAGAGTAATCATTTCTCTCTACGAGTTGCAGAAAAGTGCCAAATTTGAGAAAAATGATTAGAGAAAAGCCTATAAAAAAACGAAAGAAAGAAAACGTCCACAAATAGAATAGAGAAAAACTCAAATACCATCACTATATTTAGTAGGGGCGTCATGTTTGTTGTCATTTGTTCTCCGCCAGCTTGTGTCTTCACCGCCTGCTAATTATTAACATGAATACACAAGTCATATTTCGATAGAGATACCATGTGTGTGTGTGTGTTTGTGTGAATGAGAGAGAGATACACACCATTGGATGCCACAAACTCTTGGTGTTCTCTTTGGCCGGTTGAAGCATCAGACCTAGGAGAATTAGTCACGTTTATTTTCCGTGCGCCTAAATTTATCACTAATTTTTTTCCTTTGACAGTTTTCGACTTGCCAGAATGCTTTCCAGTATCCTCTCCACTATCCACATCATTAGATTTATTACTCTTGATTCTAACAACTCTTGAAGTCCTATCTTCGTCGCTCACCATTACCTCATCTACAAACTTGTGCTTTAAAACTCCCGGCTGATTGATGGAGCAAATCTCTTCTGTATGACTCAGGCTTCCGGCAACAGGAGAAGAATATGTCTCTGGTACCTCATCTTTCTGAGGCAACAGGCCACCATTCTTGTCACGACCCAAGTTGTATCTGAAAGATTCGGCATTCTGTCCTTCAAAACTAAGATCTGGTTCTCTTTTATTGATCGCCGGTGCCTGATATCCTTTTTTCTTTGCAGATGCTTTACTGGAATATTTCTTTCCAAAATCTTTGGTCTTTTTTGGTGAATTATCAGCTAACCCTTTCAGAGATAATTTCAAGGTACGCCCATACTCGTTCTTTATAGCTACAGGGCCATTTTCTTCATCGTCAGAATATGGTGAAATAGAAAATATTTCTTCTTGAGTTGGCAACCCAGCAGCAGCCCTCAAGCGTACAATTAAATCTCGATCAGCTTTGTCCTTTCTCCTCCAAAGCTCTTTCACAGCGTCCTCAAGATCTTTGACCTAGCAATATACATTTAAATTCATAAATACAAATGTGCTAATTAATAGAAACAAGTTCTTAAAAAAATAAAACAAAATAAATAAAGTTGAAAAATTATTAATAACTAAATCTTGAAAACCTGATAGCACTCTCCACGGCATGTGGCACACTTGTACTGGAGATTTCCATCCACTTGAAACTGCAAATATTTTTCATCACTGCAAAGCAATAATTTCAGAAGTTAGCATACTTAACATGTATCCAATCTTTCGGTCAACCATCAAAATAAAGTATGGAACCCATAAATTGGTTTTATTCCTTGGTGTCTTGATAATGACATTTATTCACGGGAAAAACTACTAAACTAGAGTCAAGGAGGAAGGGTACTGAAGTTTTCAATAGGGAAGATCCTGATTCTTTAGGGCGTTTCCTTTCACCATAGCAAACTATCACAAATACATGTTTCCAATCAAAGAACAGTTACAAATCATTATGATAGCCTCTTCCGCCCCATTTTTCTTTTTACTATAGCAAACTATCACAAATACATGTTCCCAATCAAAGAACAGTCAATGATAATGCAACAAAGAAAATTGATAGGAATTTACCTGATACCATCACATTGGCAATGAACCCACCGTTGGCAAATATCACAGCAAACCATTGGTGTTGATTCTGAATCTCTATAAACCTACAAAAGTTGACACAAATAAATAGGATGAAGAACTCTTGTCACAAAAGTTGACAAGACATGCAACTGGTTATCCGCGCCAATCAAGTCAAACACTTCAGAGATATAAATAATGTGATAGGCCTGAAGACAAATATGGATTACCTTCAAACAAACAGGGCAATAATTCCCCTTCACAAACAATCTTCCACATGCATCACAGCAAGTGTATCCCAGAAACCACCTGTATTTGGAAAACAAATGGTGATACTGATATGAAACTAGATGTGTCGTAACTAATTAAGAAAACATCAGTGTCTGAACTCCCAAGAGTTTTAGAGCTATTGGTTAGCTTATGAATTTGGACATGTATAGGTTAAAGATTGAAAATTGTGAAGAAAAGGTGAAATAGTAGTAAAGCATTCAGATTTAGATAACTGAACCAGACAGGTATGCTACGTCTTTCCTTCCAACCCCAAAACCCATAACTGATATTTCCTTATAGAAAGGCAAGATTCATAATGTAAACCCCGAATACTAGTTTCCAGCAAGTAATTGAAGCAATACCAAGAGTCAAGATACTAAGTGGTAGTTGTCAGTGACTTGAAACATGACACCAAAAATATAGGCAAAGACATTTATGAAGCAACTTTCATATAAAGTTTTCAAGTAATATACCTCACACTCAAGCCATTTCCTGGGACAGTAGAGCCACAGCTGTGGCACTTGGTATGTTTTGGGCACAAATAAGGTCCAGACGAAACATTCTGCATCATCCACCAGCATAAATAAGTACAAAGTTGTAGCTAGATAAAAATTAGAGCATAAGTAAAAACCACATTGAGTAGTACACATTCATACCCACCTTATGTGAAGGATGTTGGCAGTAACAATGGTAAGCACCATCACACCTTTTACAGAACATAAATTTGTTAGGATCTCCAGTTCTTCTGCATACCTGAAAGTAAGAGGTGCCAAGGTATTACAGCGATGCATACCCGTAAAATTTGTGGAATCTCAACTTTATTATACAGAAACGTATGAATCAAGGTTGTGGCCACCATTTACACTGTATATCCTTAATTAATTCTTACAGAACGAAGATTTGACAAAGCATGCATCAAAACATAGAAAATGAAACTGGAAAACATTCTTGAGAATGCAAGGGAGAAAAAACAAATAGAGAGTTTTCTAAACTGAGAACAATGAAACATATGAAGATAGGAATAAAAAGGGGTAGTAACAAGATTGAACACCATCCTTACCTCACAAATTCGGCAAGAGGGACACGTCCAAGAACTCCAATGAAAGAGATCTGCCAAAAAAAAAAAAAAAACAGAGATTCCCCACCAATTAGAATATGTCAAATTTGTATTCCTAAATATGCTACGGGAGCAATATATGCTTTACCCCTATGTTGAGCCCAAGTTTTCAAGCAGTTTCTGTGGTACTTTTTGCCACAACTTTTGCATGAAAGCATCCTCCTTGCTCTCTCACTTCCTTCATTCTCACCAAAAAAGCATATCCTGCACATCACATTAACATTGGACTGACCCTGTTCTTCTCCCGCTGGACCTCTTGGGGCCTCCTGTTAAAGAGAGTTTAAAAAAGTTATATTGATGAAACGTAAAATGTATAAGGGAAATCAAACATTACAAAAATCAAGAAATTAGCTGCAAAGTGCATATAATTTAACTATCACACCCAACTTTTTTTTTTTTTTTTTTCCAAACTTTTCATCAATCTTCTTTCAGGAAAATGAAAAATCAACTTTCAAAGATAACTGAATTTACCTATTACACGGGCATGAAATCATACAAACAATAATTAAAGATACGGTCTCCTAAAAACATCTTGATGAAGACCTAAAATCACTAACAGAAAGTCCTTTTTTTACTACTTCAAATCCGAAACAAAGAAAAGAATGCAGGAATCAGCAAATGCCAAAATCCCAGCAACACTTCTAAATCTTCAATAAATAAAATTATCCAAGTTATCAAATTTCCTACATTCTCAAAATTCCATAACAAAGCTAACAAAAACTAGGAATTCAACAACAAAATACCCAAATTTTAGCTCTATTTCGTCATAACACTCCTCACAAGCTCAAAATTTTGCAAAATTCAAGAAAAAACTACGGATTGCACAGCAACCAAAGAAAAGGGGAAAATGGGCATACAATTTAAATCGAGAGGAAATTGAAAGAACCTCACCATCAAATCACCGGACTCGAAGCGGCGAGCGTAGTCCTCCGCGGCGACCATGGCGGCAGCGGCTTTACGCTGGAGGGCGGCGCGCTTGGCCTGCGCCGACGCCGCAGCGGCGGCGGCGGCAGCCTCCTCGTCGACGGCATCTGCCGGCGGGGGCAGGACCGGCTGAGGAGGCGGCGGCGGAGGCGGCACAATCCGCGGAACGGCGACCTGAACCGTGGCAGCCCCCTTCTCTCCATCCCTAACCCTAATTCCCCACGGATCCTTGAGAAACTCCTCGACCTTGCGGACCTCGTCTAGGAAGCCATTCCCGTGGCTCCGCGGAAACCCTAGCGGGCAGAAGCAGATTCGGCGGCTGCAAAAAGAAAAACCACAAGAAAAGCCATGGATGGGGCTCGCTGAGCTTCGTTCGAGCGAGAGAAAAAAAACAAGAGAGAGAAAGAGAGAGAGAGAGAGGGGTTTTAGAGAGAGAAAGAGTAGTACCATGTAATTGGGCAAGCTACGTGAAATGCCATATTGAGGGAGAAGATTTTGATTTGAATTTTTTCGTGTGTGTTGTTTTAGGAGGATCGCTCGCAAATTTTTTTTTACTTTAGCCGAAAAAATAAATTAATAATAATATTTTTCATATATATTGTTGAAAGAAAATAAAAAATAAAAAAAAGATAAGTAGTTACAAGGGTAGTAATACGATGCGGGGGGAGAGAGAGAGAGAGAGAGCTTTTGCTGTTTAGAGAGATAGAGAGAGAGAGAGAGGACGAGAATGTGAGAGAGTTTGGGGCTTCTTTTTAATTTTAAGGTTGTGTAGGTACTCGATCCGAAAAGATTTATTTCGCATCTGACCAGACAGACGCCATGTGTTGCTTTGCTGCTTGTGGTGTTCTTCGTCTACCTCAAAACGGTGACGTTTTCATCAAGTGTCGTTTTCTTCACATTTTAGTATACGATCTGTCGTCTGAGTGGATTTTGTTATTACATGTCGCCAACCGACTCCAACATTAGTGATCCACAGTACAACATCGCGTTTCACCAGCTGCCGTTTTTTCTTCACATTTCATCATACGACATGTCGTTTTTATTGTCCCAAAAATTTGTCGTTTTCTCCACACAATTCCAAACCATATTCTGGGCACATCGTTAGTTAGGTATATAAAATTCCTCCTCCTTTTCTTCCACTTCTTCTTATTATTCTTCTTCTTATTTCATCAAAGTTCAGCATTTAGCAAAATCGTGTCGTGTGTTATATACAGCTAATGTAGTTTTTCAACATAGCACCAAACGACATTCAAGGCACATTTTTAGCATGTCCATAAGCCTTCTTTTTTCCCACGTATCTTTCATCAAAATTCGGCAAACCAATTGTTATTTGAGATTAGTTTCTTCTCTTTCATCACTCGCAAATCTATCCCAAGTAAGATTCATAAGAGACTATATATATATACAGTGGCGGAACCATGGTTTTATTTTTATGGGAGTATAAACTAAAAATGTATTATTTAGTAAAATATTTACAATCTTAATGGATATTTTATATAGAGTTAGATCCTCATTGTTAAACTGCGGACTTTAAGGTTTACGAGAGCATTTGCACTCGATGTGTACAAACCTTACCTATAGTATATATTTAATTACTGTTTGAAATGACCTTTCATGAAATTTTAAATGCATGAATTATGTTTCTATGTTTAAGTAATTATGCTACTTATGACACTATAATGTCATGTCATACTGCATGCTCACCTTAAAATAAGCGTAACCATAAGATAAGTTGCATCACCTTAAAATAAGCGTAACCATAAGATAAGTTAAGTCAAGAGTGGCATACTAATCTCATGATCTATAGGGAGGATTTATGTTAGGAATGAATCAAGATCTGGGAATAGTCAGGGACCGTGCAAACTATAACTTTCCCATTATGTGCATATCCTATACAAACACTTGAGCCGAAATATGTTAAGTTCATAATATACATAATTGGTCATGCATTTTATGAATAATTTAATTGCATTTTGCGAGATGTAGTTTGTACTTATTGAGCAAAAGTGTACTCTAGTACGATTTTATATAGGTAAGAAACCTTTCAATAATAGTTGATGGACTGTGCGAGGGCGATAGGGTGAAAGTGAAGAAAGGATGGGATACTGCTTTGCAAATTCTAGGTTAACTTAAGTTTAGTTATAAAAAAGGAAAAAAAATCGCAAATTCTAGGTTATTTAAGTTGAGTAAATAACATTAGGTAGTTAAGTAGCAGCCACGCAGTACGGATCATTTACAAAGCAAATTACGATTTTTGTAGTCACATTTTTCTTATGCTAATAAGGATGTCCACACATTAGTTTTTTTTTTCTTTTGATGAAGATCGATTCTTTTGGTTAGAAGAATTTTCTAGTTGTATTACTTTTTTCGTATGTGCCAATATGACAATTTATGATTAATGCAATCCATCTTTCCTTCCTACAAAAAATAAAAAGCTTGCTAATGGTGTCTTACACTATAGTGTTCATTGTCTCAAGAAAATGACTGATTTTTAAAGATTTATCTTTTAAAGGGCTTAAAAAATTGAATTTTCACAAAGTTCATACACAGTGATAAAACTTATATCTTAGTGAATTGTCATACACAGACTAAAATACTTAATATATATATATATATATATATAGGAATTGTCTTTGGTCAGACACTTGGAAAGTGCCTGACCAGTCAGACACTTGTATAATCGTGTATAAATTGTGTATATTTATACGTAAATCATGTATATTTACATGTAAAGTCATGTATATTTAACATGAAATACAATAAATCAGTCAATATACATATTTTCATGCTATGTGTTCACTAATTGCTATAAAAAAACATGTTTTGAGGATTAATATACATTGTCATTTCTTATAACTTAACATACATTATTTATATGTAAATATACACGATTTACATGTTAATATACACGATTGCACAATTATACAAGTGTCATGTAAATATACACAACTTATATGTGAATATACACAACTTACTCTAAATATACACACTTTATACAAAAATATACAAGTGTCGTTCTGGTCAGGCATTTTCCAAGTGCCTGACCAGAGACATTGCCTATATATATATATGAATAAACAACAACTTAGTTCATGTCAAATCACACCATAAATGGTTTTTTATTTTTTATTTTTATTTATTAATATATATTGATGAGTGGGTATTTTACTCAATTAGTTAATGTCAAATCACACCATAAATGGGTTTTTTATTTTTTATTAATATGTATTGATGAGTGAGTATTTTACTCACAAATCAAGCACTTTTGAGCTTCATTATTTGTGACATTCTCAAGCATTTGTGTTAGTTTGATGTGTTTTTATTTTATCTTTGTGTAGGTAAATTAAGTGTGAAAATGACTGGATTGAAAAAAAAAAGAACAAATTTAACTTCGGAACATACTTCAGTATTTGGAACATAACTCTCTCATCTGAAATCCAAGTGAGGTGATTTTAATGGCTTTAGAAATATAAGAGATAGAGCTACAACTTTCGTGAAGAACCAAACACTAATTCAACCATATAGAAGGCAAAACTCCTCATAAAAAATTCACACACCCGCTGCAGCGGGAAATCCATCCGTTGCAGTGAATTTCCTGCCCCAGAGCAGGAAACCACACACCCATTGTAGCTGGGAATCCATTCGCTGTAGTGATTGCGCCAGTTTCGCTAGGGTTTTTACAAAATCCTTAGTAGCGCTGCAGCGGGAAATTGATCCGCTGCAATGCCTCCACATGAAATGTTGTCAATTTTAGTAGATTTAGAAAGATATAAAAAGGGAGAAAACTCATTTTCCCAAAAGGATGGAGAATTGGGAAGGAAACACAGGATAGAGAGCTAAAATTCATAGAGAGAGGAGCTTGAGTTGAAGATTCTTGGAGGATTCATGGCGGATTCTTGGAGGATTCAAACTTGAAGTTAATCTCCACAAGAGTTCCTTCTTCTTTTCTCTCAACCTACTCTTTCTTGTGATTTATATTTGTGGATATTTTGTTGAACCTATTTTCATTTATGGATTTCTTGATAAGATTAGTTATGGATTTCTCTATGTTGAGCTAGATTTCTTATGTTAGAGAGGATTGATGTAACTTTATCATGGCAATGTTTTGAAATTTCTAGTGCTTGTTAATTGAATTCATTTCTAATCCTTTGTGTTTTCTCTATGCTTATTGTCTAATTTAATTATCCATTAAATTAGAGATTTAGATATGTGGATTTAGTCTTGAGAAAGTCATTTGCACATATTAGAATTTGAGAAACACAACTTAAGTTTATCAAGTTCGGGAGGGTAATATAATTTGGGTAATCACTAAATGGGTTTATGCTTAATCAACCCTTAATGGATTGGGTTAATAGGGATATTACTTGATTTATTTTGCGTATTATTTTGCTCGGCACTCGGGAGAATGTGACGACCCTCCTATGAGGCTGCCACTGTAACTTAAACTTTAACTTGTACTTACTGGGGTTTCTTAAAATTTACGGATTTTTTTAATATAAGAAGGAATACTTTCATAATTTGTTACAATAATTTCAAATAAGTGAATCACTAAATTTCTTTAAGTTTTTCTTAATTTTAGTTAAGATAAAACCTTTTAGAAATATCCTTCAAACGGAATAGCATTTGAACTCTTATTTCAAATACTCTTTAAAAGCTTTTCTAAAACTAGTCATTTCAATCGGCCATCTCATTTGACTTTAAAACGGATTTCGTGAGAAATCTTAAATTCAAGTACATCTTAAAGTCCTT